AATTATACCAGTTTTTATGTTTGCTATGGAGCGCAATTATGCAAAGTTTGCTATATTATACAAATATGATTTTTTTGTTTGATATATGTGAAAATTGCCCAAAAATGAATGCACCTTGTAATAAAAAACGGAGATATTGACCATAAAAAAGGTGAAATTTTTTTATGTATCTTACAAATTTATTAATTAAGAAAAAAAGGGATTTTTGAAAATTTTAAAAAAATTTATGTAGTTAAATAATTTATCCTTTTATTTATTGATTTTAGAATTAAATCATAGTCACAATGATCAAATTTTGAATTTCAAAAAAGAAATTCTAAAATTTGATGTGGCTATTTTTGAAAAATACAACCGAAAAGTATCAACTTAAATAAATGTGACATATTTTGGGCCGAAGAGTTACATATTAGGCTTACTATCTAAAGGAAATATTTTTGAAAAAAAGATACAAACTGGAGATGTAATCAGGATCCTTTTGTTAATGTTTCTCAAATTATTATTTATAGTTATATATATGTTAAAAGGAAAAGGCATGTGAGATATGATTAATTCGTCTATTTGATCGATAAATATATCATATATTGCTACTAGAAATAGGAGAGGAGTTAGTGAGATATGGAAGAGATGAGAAAGATATAATTGATTTTTGTATCTCGTCGAAAATTATATATATAGGATCGATAATTGTATCATGAATACAATTGATTTGTATCAATGAGTACAATTGTACCAAATACTAGTGTATTCAATTTGTTGAGCAAATCAATTGTATCAAGTATATAAATGAATCAGTGGATACAATTGTATGAACAAATACAATTCGTGATAAGTTGTACTTGTATTCATTGGTTGTCTTGTATATTATATTTATGTGTTTACCATATATATTTGTATCATTGATTCACCGTTTATATTGTATCGTTAATTGCTATATATGTATTTATATCATTGATTGTTCGAAAAGAAAGGGAGAGTAACAGGAGAGTAAATACATATCACATGTTTATTTTCTTAAATAATTTTTCATTATTTATACTGCAAGCTTACTTGGATTCTAACAAGAATTAGTGTTGGGTTTGTCCGTGGACTGTTGAGAAAATACATAAGGTATGAAATTTTCCCTTTCTTTATAAAACTTTGGACTATAAGAGAATAAAATAAAAAAACGATTTGTGCGTAAGAGTTACCTCCTTTCCAAAATATTTGGTAATTTTGTTTTTGTTTTTCTCTAAGCCAAGCTCAAGATTAAAATTGAAATATAAAATAAGGGGAACATTTTAAAACAAAAATATTCCGTTTCTAGAAGTTTACAAAAACAATGATGATATAATTACGTGAGAGAAGAAACTATAATAATGTTAGCCAGATAGAATAATAAAAGTGGAACAACTTGAACCAATATATTATAGTTGAAATAACATGTTAGATTCACAAATTTAAAAAACTCAAAAAATTAACTCTATTTATTTCTAGAATATGTTTGTAAACTTCTAGAAAGTCAAAAGAACTTATTATTATTGCATTAATGTTCGACATGTTAAGTAGAGGAGAAAGCAATTAATTTTCAACCCCAGATTGACCACAAAATTGTATGTCAATTGTCAGCAAAGAAAAATAAAAATACAAAGACGTGAATGTAGTGAATTTTGAGTGTTGTAATAAAAAAAAATTGATGAACTATTACAATGACAAGTTATATAATAATAATATAAATCACCGATTTGTTTATGCTTATTTAGGTCTTGATTAAAAATTTTAAACGGTAAAAAAATTCACCACGTTTGGTGGTTAACGTTGAAAATTCAATCTTTACTTAAAGTTCTATTTAAATGGATTTGTAAGCTTACTAAGAAAGATATGATCCTAGATAAAAGATATTCAAGATAAGACAAGGGTATCCAGTTATGTGATGAAAATATATGAAAGACGAGAAAAAATATTCAAGCATGTTAAAAGAGGATTTATAAAACCCTAGAGAGGAGCTATGAGAAGCTAATGCTAAAGGATCAAGGAGAAATAGAGATAAGCCGAAAAAGTATTGGAGTTCGATAAAGTGATCTAATACTAAAGGGTTGAAGGAGAGGTAGAGATAGACGGAAAAACTTTGGAGATTAGAGAGATGATCAGACAAGACATGGCATGCGAAAGCTTTAAGCCTTTAACTTATAAAAACATGACCATTGATAGGAGGATGTGAGAGTCTCAGTTTCCTAACAAATTAAAGAAGACCTCGTACCTAGGAGAATTGAATCATAAACTTTTATTTAAGAATAAAAAACTATTTATCATTTCACACACAACTCTGATCGGGTAGTATATTGTTGAGTTGAATCAATAATGTAATATTTTTATTACGTGTAGATTACAAAATTTCACATTGTAATATTTCGTGTGAGATTTAGTACTATATTCACATCATGAACATGTCAAGTAAAATTCAATTTCACTCTTCATCATTTCTTTCTAGAAATTGTAGTCAGCTTCTAGAAAGTCAATGCTAGGATTTTATATATGTTGATAAATTAATAAATATCTGGCAAAATCTGGAACATTTAAGGAGAATAAGCTTGAGTGGTGTTTAAGTATAATTAATTAATGTTATCTTCTATATTAGCTTATGATTATGTAGGTCTAAGCATTTATAATCCTTTTTTCACATTCTAAAATAGGGACAAAACACTTTGCTTAATTCAAGTTTCTGACAATTTCAATGATTAACATTATATTAATTGAAAATCTTTGAACAAAGTATTTTGAGATTAAAGTCTTTACCTCTGGAAGTTTGATAACTTGGATTTGTGTGATACTGACTTTATTCATGTGTAAAAGTTTTTACAATGACTAAAGTTTATGCATAAATGAAGATTATAGATTTTTGTTGAAGACTAATAAAGCCACAATTGCCTCGATCGAAATTAGATTCATTGATAATATTTTTCGATAAAATTTCGATTGATTGGAAAAAAAAGTAATTCCTATATTAAATAAATAAACTCAAGGTGTAAATAGAATCGATAATGTTTACAATGCCTCATTAGAATTAGTATAACAAGACTTATCTCTCGTTACTTATAATATTATTTTTTGAGGTTCATTTTTATTTATTAATAAATAATAAAATATTTGATAAAAGAAAATATAGTTTATTTTTTTAATTTTAAATACTTAACTTTCTAGACATACTTTTACTTTAATACCTACTACAATTACCACTTAAATTGACTGCAATTTACCTTACGGTCGAGATTAACTAAGTGATATAAATATTCAAAATTAGATCTACGTTTGAAAAAGTTTTAGAATATACGTAGATTTTATCTACTTATTATCGTTCATTGAAAATAGAGAAGATATTTTCGAAAGACCTTCAATTCAAGTACATCAAACTCAAGTAAGAAAAAAAGAAAATAATACAGAAAGCAGAATGGTTAAAAAGAAAAGCGATGTAAAATCTATAAGAAAGAAACAATAATAAAATTTTGTGATAACTTAAACTCAATAAACAACAATATAAGGCAAGAATTAATGACCTTCTATCGTAATATACAATCTTCAATCCTTCCTATCTAGAATCATGTCAGCATTAATATGAAGTTGCGTCATGTTTTATCTAATCATCTCTTCTCAATACTTTTTCAGATTATCTCTACTCTTCCGTGTAATTACAAAACCAATTAATTCTAAATTGAATTTTTAAAAGCTAATTTAATCTAAATTTATTTGTATTTAATTAATTAATTTGATCTGTCTAAATGCACACCTACTTTTAAATTTTATTGAACTTCAAATGTTTTTCTCAACCTCCACCAATTAAACCTCAAGAAGAAATCATAATTATGGCGGATTTTCAGTCATGATATTTTAAAATTTGATTGATGATTTGGCAACTAATTATCCTAGATCAATCATACACATATTAATATAAGCTGTATTAATAATAATGGATGTCTTTTTAGTATTATATTAGGTTATGACTATTGACTAGTAAGCTTTATATGTGACCTCTAACAAATGTCACCTGCTTAATGTTTTTTCTTTTGTTTTTTTCAAATTTGATGTTTGATGTAATATAATATACATTTGATTAAATTTGAATTCACAGTTATATAATTTTTTGTCAAGTAGCGATACTTTTAATTGAAATTTTCATATTCTATGCTAAAAATATATAAAATTTAATATTTAATTGTTAAACATTTTTGGGTGACGTTCGCACTCTAAAGGTGGAGCTGTAATATTACGTATGATTAAGTTTGAACAAATTTAATAATTTTTTATTTATTTAAAGAAATTCATTAAATTCAATTCATCTAAACGAGATGATTGGTAATAAATCTAGACTTTATAAACTTTAAATATGGGTTACGTTATTGATCGAAATGACTTGAATAAGACTGTAATTGGTCTGTTTTTGGGTATTACATCATCAAGTTGACAAAGAGTTGAATAAGATACTCTGATTCCTGCCTAGTGACACAATCCTAATTGAAAATTGAATAGACAACGACAAAAAGAGTTATTGAGGCCCATCATTATTTCTATAATCTATAATTTATTTTTTTAAAAAAGAAATTATTTGGTGTCTAAAGTTTCGCATTAAATATATCTCAATTAAATACTGTAAATAAAATTCATTTAGGAGATACAGTTTCTAACAAAATTTTCTTTATATCTAGAACTCAATCTCGAAAGTTCTAATTAAGAGTGAAATAGTTACACCATCCGAAGAAAAAAAGAAAAAGTTATAAATTTAACTTCAATCCACTCGTTTAATTTTCCATATTATGAACTTTAGATCAATATAATTAACCATCTTCAATGAAAAATCACAGCATTGATTGGAAATCTAAAGAAGAATTTCATGATTATGATAGTTATTACTTTACAATGGAAATTCATTCATCCTTCAACCCTATCTTATAAAGAAAGAAAAAGAAATCACATACGAAATAATTAATCCTAAGATAAGTTGTTTCATCAAATAAAATTGATAAAATAAATAATTTAAGGATTATGTAATACCTTTCATTAAACATAAATTAAAATTTTCATTCTGAAATTATTATATCTTATTCCTTATACCAAACGATTCTAGGAGTTAATACTGTATAGGAAACGATAATAATTTCGAAATTATTTTTTTCTCACGATTGAATTGATGATTATTTCATACGTCTTGCCAAACTATCCAAACCCAAACATTTGATCCGTGAGAAAAACCGACCCGACACATTTCATACCGCTTGAGGGACCTTCTTCCTCCTCTTCCCCGGCGCATTATCCGACGACGATGAAGAACATTCCGGCGACATTGATGACTTCTTCGACCTAACTCTAATGGGTTCCGGCTCACCGGAATTAACCCGCAGTGGAAAATTCAGCATTGCACGTGAACCCCTCATGCGAAACGCCGCTTTATCATAAGCAAACGCTGCGTCCTCCGCCGTCTCATACGTACCCAACCACACTCTTTGCCCATTTTTCGCCGGATCCCTAATTTCCGCCGCAAATTTTCCCCAAGGCCTCTGTCTCACACCTCGATAATGCCTCGCCGTCGGCAGCCTCTGCGGCGGCGCTGTCACAACAGATTGTGCTGGTGGTTCCACTCTCACTTCCGCCGCAGCCGCAAATTCCGCGAAATTCCAAATTTCAGGCTCCGATTTCACATTTGGAATAACAGGATCCGATCCATATCCAAAGCCATTATCATTAATCAAATCGGAGAGGAATTTATCAGTTAAACAATCAAAATCATTCGATAAATTGTCAGTCGAATAATCAAACTCATTAGAAAAAGTATTAGACTCAATACTATTGTTTCGGCTATAAGTTGAGATTGAATTATCTGAGCTTGTTAATGGATTTTCCCATTCCCAATCTTCAAGTAGTTGAAGCTTAATGGATTGAAGAAAGGCATAATCATTTTCAAAATCTATATTTTCAAACATATTTCTAATTGTTAATGATTTGATTTAAATTGTTCAGAGTAAAAATAGAAAAGAGAACAGATAGAAAACTGGGGAAGCTTAATTAGAACATTCTTAGTGAAAGGTTAAATGGAGTATTTATAAGAAAAATGGTTCATGCATGGAGCTAATTTTCATGATTTAATTAATATTTTTTTGAAGGAAAAATTTAGAAGTTGCTGCAGAGGAATTCAGCTTCCATGAACGTTCTTACATGAAGAAAATTTACACGACATTTGTATCACGTGATTTCCTTTTTACTTTTCTATTCATTTTATCAGTCAAATTTGAACTTAACACAATCATTAAGAAACTAATGATCCACTACAGTGGCGGAGTTAGGATTTTAATATAGAGCCGGCTCTATGCAATAAATAATAAGGCCTTCGTCTTAGGCTCCTAAATTTCAAGGGCCTCAAATTTTTCTCAAGAATAAATTATGTGTTAAAATTAATAAAAATTAGTTATTTATGAAAAAAAAAAGTATAATTTATTTAAAAATAAATTATTTTATCCACTTTAACATCTTTTGTACTTTTTTAAAAATGAGAATTAACAAAAAGTGTTACAAAGTGAATTACAATTTTTTTATTTTTTTTCAAATTTTAGTTTCAAGCATTACTCCTAGCATATTAAAATGAGGTTATATCAAGTCATCAGCTTTTTGAGTCAAATTCTATGATTCTAACTCTTCTCTTTATTTAATATTTATCAGCTTATTACTTGTATCATTGTGTTAACTATACATACAATAATTATCTCATTTAAAGATGTTTTTCAATGTTCAGTTGATAAAATCTTACTTAAAATTAGTAACTGAATAAATAATATTAAGTACTAATAATTTTCATCTTAATAGTATAATTATAATTCGATAGGTTGAGTTTCTGATTTTAATTACAGTCACTTTGACTTTTAGAATTCAAAGTTGAAAAGTCTATAATAAATCATTAGATTGATTGGATAAAAAAATTACACTAGTTAAAGTTTTAAATATATCTAAATCAAAACTATTAGATCTTGTAAAATTTGTAATTAACTCACCTGGTTTGGTCCTATTTGAAATCTATTATTTGTAGGTCCATCATCCATGTATAAGTTATACATATCTGCATAATATAATTACACAAATGTAACTAAATTTGAATAAGCTAATAAGTTATTATACACTAGGTCTCTCTTGCATGCCTAAAATAAAATTATATAAATTTATTTAAGATTATATGGTAACTAATGTATGGATACTCATTTATTAAGTGTGATTACATGATTAAAATGCATGTAAAAACATATGATATGTGTTCATGAATATATTTCATATAAACATTAAATGCAAGTAAGATATTTAAAAAAATATATATTTTACCTTTTTACTTCAGAGATACAAAAGCAGATAGTCAACTTAAACTAATCAACTTTTTAATTTTCTCCATTTATTTTATTTTTTTTGCCTACTTTTTTTCCTTATAAAATAATTTCTAAAAAAGTTACCACAAATTGGACACTCGACAAAAACTTTTCAAAGTTTTCAACTCCTATTTTATGGCAATTTACTTGTGATATTCACCTATAATGCTACTATGGTTGGTGGATAAAAAAAAGTCCCAAAATTATTATTTAACAAATCAGTACTGTCTTTGAAATCCGAAAAAAAAATAATTAATTTGCTATGGTATTTACCCTTTAATTCTATATTCAAAAGTTACCGCTTAAAAATCTAAGAAATATCTTTACACTATCATTATATTTATATAATTTTTAACACGTTGCGTTCAAAATCTTGTATCTTCACATTCTTAGCCAGAAAAGCTAATACTAAGCTATCATTTGGTCATAGATTTTCAAATATTCTTGGCAAATATTTTTTGAGTGAAATTTGGATGAAATTTCATCATCTGTTTGGTCATACAATTTGGGAAATATATTTCACCTTTTTAGAAAAATATGATTTATACGCACAAGTTTTAAAAACTATCAAAACTAACTAAAAGTTTGTATTACAAGTCAATTGAATGTTCGTTACAACAATAACAAATAATGTCCATGACACTAAAACAATGTGGTAATTTAGAGTGAGTGCAACAAGAATTATTCCATGTATCGTGAAGCAGACAAAGTACGTGACTTTGTTACCTAAAGCCAATTTTTAATAATTTTCATCAACAATCATATCATTATTTAATATTCACTAAATATTTCATCACTATTTTGGTGTTCACGTAAAAAATGATGTAATACAACGCAAGCAACAACTAAAGAAGGTGTTTTTGTAAAAGATAAAAGATTGGGGTAAAATTTTAATTTTCAAAATATCCCAAATAATGAGATTTGACCCAAATACTAGAAAAAACTAGTATTTGAAAATTTGGGATATTTGCCAAAAATATTTATGGCAAATTGTATGGACAAACATTATTTGTCAAATTTTTCTCAAATATATTTATGGCCAAACGGGCCCTAGATTTGTCTTTTTTAATAAAAAATATTTATGTTAGTACTCCATATATTAAAAGTAAAAAAAGGATAAACTCGTAAGTCTACTCACATTATGTTTACTTTTATTTATATATTATATTAAAAATATATTTTATTTTTATTCGTCACTTTAAATATATTAGAAATCATATTTTTAATCATATTACTTGCTTATTCTCTGAATCATTTTCAAAGTTTATAAAATCAATTAATATAAATATAATAATAAACCATTTATACTATTAATAGTCATTTTTTAAAAGCGCGCAATATTCTAAGCGAACAAAAAAGAGTGAATAAGATGATATTTCTGTTTATTTCATTGGCAACTTCCATTCCCCATTTTTGTAATAAAATAAGAAGAGATGTTTATAGATATTAATGTCAAAGCTTACTTTTGATCCAATTAACATATTATTAATATAGGGTATCATTTATATTTTATCTATTGCACGTCCCAATTCAGGTTGGAGTCATAATCAAACATGACACTTGTATAATAGAATTAGTTAAGAAATTAATAAATTTAAATTTATATTATTAATATAGGGTATCATTTATATTTTATCTATTGCAAGTCCCAATTGAGGTCGGAGTCATAATCAAACATGACACTTGTATAATAGAATTAGTTAAGAAATTAATAAATTTAAATTTATATTATTAGTTATATTTTTTTTATATGATTATAAACATTTGATATTAACTAATATTGTATTTGAATATCAACATCAAGAGGTGGCTAAGGTTCAGCTATTCTACCCATTGAGCTCAATTAGTTTAGTGTACATATACTATAATAAAAATAACTTTTCACGATATTAAATATTAATATTAATAAAGAGTGTTAATATCTTTATTAGCATTAGTTAAGTGTTATTAATGTCGTTAAAGGCTTTATGAACATATATAAAGAATGACAATTACCGCTAAAAATACATATTTAACCGTAATTTAAAATTAAAATATCGCTAATAATTATTTTTGTCGTAATAATATGAATAAAGGAAGAAGGTCCAATTTTCAGGATATTATTAGCTACCTATCTCATTCAAAAGAAGAAAAAAAAGTGATAAAGTTTGAATATTCTGATCTTTTAAAAGAGAAAAATGATTTTGGGAATGTACATATATTTAAATTATATTTTTCTTATCCATATAAAAGCATGACAAATTTCAAAATAGAAACAGGAGATCTATATATTTTGCGTGAATTCAAGTATAGTTTGTGTGCGTGTTAAGAAAAGTAAAATTAAATATATATTTTTAATATAGATTTTAGAAATATTTTTTTCTTTTTTAATTTTTATATCAAATTATACTAAATCATATAAAATAAAACAGGTGAAATGATATATTATAGAACGAATAACAAATTCTACAGACAATTTTATTTTTTCCTTTTTAAGACGATATAAAGTGTCAAAATTCCCAAAATTTTAACCTGTTCAAAGTAGGGCATCAACAAGATATATATTGAAAATAAATTGGAATATAATAATTAATAGTAACTCTCGTTTGTTATCAACTCTTAATTAATAAATACAAGTGGGAATTAATAATTAAAATCTTACAATTAATTTGTTTCAAAAGTTTGACCTCTTTGGTCGTACAGTCTATTGATAAAGAATAGGTTTAGAATAATATATAAAATATATTTGTGAATTAATCAGAGTCGTCTATGTTTTGTATTGTTGTTTTAACAGCCGTTGGATCTAAAAGACTGCACGTACAACAATGTTGACTAAATTGAATTCTCTCTTTTACTTTGACTAATTGGATAATTGTATTATAGTCCAAATAGTCTTATGACTTAAAAAGGAATTTATATTATCAAAGTACGAGGGTTGTTACGTGTCCAAATTTTTTGTGTGTGTTCAAAAGTTTTTAAAGTTATAAAAATAAATTTTATTTGTCTAAATTGAAAATAGTTAAAATACTATATATTCAAAATTCTGATAAGTTAGCATATTTTGTAGTCAAATAATTGATTATATTATTCCTTACTTTTATTTTCGTAGTTTTTTGGGATGAATGGTGTGTTCAATAGGAATAATAGTAAAACGGTGTCAATTTTAGTTGAGTTCAAATTAGAAGAAAAATATTCTCTTCTGACTTATAATAGTTGATGAATTTTTTTTAATATGTATATTAAGAAGTCATAAATAAAAATATAATTTTACTAATTAACCTCTTTAAAAACTTCTTATTACAATTAGAACACTTAAAAAATAATAAATTGCAAACTGATATAGGAAAAAAATAAGTAATGTTCTCCTGATTTAGAAAGGTGGAATAATATGGGATAATTATTTTTAACAAGATGATTAATTAATATGAGACAAATGGAGTTTTCTCGCTGTAATAAATATGTACATAAATAAAGAATGTTAATTAAGATCTTACCAACTTCAGTTAATTATTATTACATTACAACAAATTAAAACAAATTTTAGCATCAATAAATATATAAATTGATAAAAAATCTTTATCGACATTAGTAAAGTGTCATTAGATTCAATGTCGGTAAAGACTTTAGGGACATATACAAAGAGTGTTAATTGTCTGTAAAGATTCATTTTTATGTAGTGCTAGATATATCCAATGTTACTATATATTTT